AAACACACATCATTGTAAAATCAATACATTCATCACTTCGTTCAGAATCTAAAAATAAATAAATAAATAAATGTAATTTTATGAATTTTTTTAAATATAGTTTTAGATCATCAAATTCCGGGTCCTCGTGATAACATTGCCTAATAAACTACGGAAATGATGACAATTCCTAGGCGATGATATCATTTCCTTCCGATTTTAGGAATTGTCAACATTTACTAGGAATTGTCATCATTTCCTAAAATGTCAACATTTTCGGTAACTTATATAATATATAATTATAGTTAAGATTTTGAGTTAATATTGCAGACTTACCATAGAACGTAATTTTTGTATAGAAATATATATATATACATGTATATAATATATACATACATAAAATGTTTAAGTCCCCACAATAATATTTTTTATTACAGCAGTGTATCTAAATATATTCAATTTCATAAGAATTTGAATTTAAAATATCTTTAAAAATATATCTATTTTAAAAATTATTTAAATTATTATGTTTTATTAAAAAATAATGATGAGAAACCGTTTAATAATAAATCTCAAAACCTTAGTAATACAATTTGGAATATTTATCATACATATTCAAGTGTTCTACTAGAAAATAATATTTTTATTTCGTGATTTTGATGTATTTTGTAAAAATGTTAACTTAAAATGATTATAAAAAATGTCTTCTCTATGTATTTCTAATTTCTTCATAGAAAACTTTTGTGTGATTTCGTATTAAATACTCAAATTTTATCAACGGTAAAAAAAAAATTCGGAAGCCTATAAATAGTTTAAAATAAGTCAGAATATTATGTAGGTATCATTTTCTATGTAAAATCATATCTTACTGATAGTTTTGATAAAAAATGTTCGTTTACGGTGATTATTTGTATAGGAGTACTACGTACTAGAAGCTTTTACCTTTGAGCCATAAAAGTAATACCAATACTAGATCCAATTCACTACCGAAAATCACTCTTAAAGTTAAAAATCGAGGCATTTTTAATACTTCGAAAATGTGATGGAACCCATATTTTTAGACCAAGACATTCATCGCTACGCTCATAGTCTTAAAACACAATTAGTATACATTTCTCTAATTCATATGGCAAAATCCAAACACTAAGAATATACAAATAAATGGTATCTAGTATGTATATTAATTATGCATATTGTTATTTTAATTTAAATATAATTAAGGTTTCATTAACAAGGGTAATTAGCACATAGTATGGATTATTTTTTTCCAAATAAGTTGTGCAAAATGAGTACTTGAAGAAAGTTTACTATTTATTTAGTATTTAATTTCGAGAAATAAACTTTATGATATTCTTGACTTCGATTATTTGATGATTTCAGGAGTGCTTCTATTTTTACACTGCATAATGTGTTTATATAGTTTAAGTGTTTAAAATTTGTTGAATGCAATTCTATTGTGCATTTAAATCATAAATTGGTGGTATCAAGTCTTCCTATCTATCTATCTATCTATTCCAGGTTTATATGATTTCTTTGTAAATATAGCTTTTGATAATGTTTCCCTCGATACATCATTAATAGTGGAATTTGCAACCGTTTTGGTAACCTAGTCGACAAATTTCATACTAAAATTTCCATTCAATATATTGTATAAAGAAATGTAATATTTTTTTTTAATTATAATTTTTGTACCTAAATAATTTAATTTCGTGTCAATTGCGCTTTAATTCTTATGGTACTGGATAGTAATATTTATAACTTAATAAGACGGCACTAGTACAAATCGATAGATTTGGTACACTATAATATTGTTTTATGTAAACGGTTTCGACCCTAATAGTTAAAAAAATATTACCTATCGTGTATTTTTAAACTATGTATAATTTACTGTTGAACTAACAATAGCGACTAGGATCTATTATTATAGTAGCCCAAACTCAAATACAATAATAATGACATAATAACAATGCATAACAATATACAATATCGTACGGTACAAGTTAAACTATTTTCGTTTTGCAAACGTGTCGACTCGAACACAATAAAATTATAGTATTATACAGTTCTCCCCCTCTCCAAAAAAAAGAACAACAAAAATCCGAAAATTATATTATATACATTATGTGACATACATATATGTATCTGGGTACGTTTCTTCTGGAACTTTATACTATTCTCTTCAAATTTTAGGATTTTTTCTACCAATACTCTTCCTCTACCCCTCTACTTTTTACCGTCTTCATCGTTGTTTTCATAGTAAATAAGAGAAGGGTGGTCTTTTTTATTATTGTTTTGGTTATGCAGCAATTTGTTTCGTCGTTGTAATAGACTACACACACACACAAAACTCAGGACATATATAGTCTTGATAATCAGTCGGGTCGTTGCGGCAGCGGTGGTGGTGGTTTATGGGTTTTGTCGCCGCGCTGTCTGGTCTGTAGCGGTAACCACGGTTACTGGCAGTTGTGCCTCCGACCCACGTTCTACAGTGGTTACCAAAACAATCGCCGCGGCGAACTTATAAACAAACACATTATTATACTGAGAGGTACCTATTAAATGATTTACGATGTTATATATTATACTACGCGTAATAGAGACATTAGGGGTACGCGTATCGTTGCTACAGTCGCACTCGGTAAATTGTTCCCCCCTTCCCCTAACCTACTTCCCTCGATACTAGTACCACATGCGAATAAAACAATACAGTCAGTTTCTACCAAACAATGTGTAAACATATATTATTATTATGATTTAGTCTTTCTTTTCACAGTCTCGATTCTCTCCCTCCAATCTCAAGCCATTTTTGAACGTCGCCACCGCCTAAAGAGATGGATTGATGAGGACGCACTGAAAGCTTACGTGTGACAGAACGCACTTACCCTTTACTATATTTTGTTTAAAATACGTGCGCATTAAACTGCGGTTAGGTACCTAAATATACGCGCTGCGATAGCCCTGAAACACTGGTGTCAGTTGATTTCACAAATTTTTAACGGATCTCCGCATATTATTACTATTATTATTTTGGGCACAGTAATTGGCCTGACAAAAACATGCTGCAATATAACAACAGCTTGCTAGGTATACCTTATATTTTCAGTTTTTTTTTCGTTCTCTTTCACTTCATGACCAGACGTGCTGCTGTGGTATATACATCGTATAATATTATATATTTATAACTATAACGCGCTATAAAACGTTTTTCACGTAATTAAGATCAGGATAAACCATAGGACAATATTCAACGCAATTTTTAAAGTATTTTTTATACTATACACCATGTCCACCAGTGTGTGATAATAATTAGATCATATTTCGATGTAGGTATATTTAATATGTATCTACCTAATAGCTTAAATTATAAACTTCACTGGTCAATATGATTATAAGTTCAAATACATAATTTAAGGTGAATTCTGTGCGATATTGGTACCATTTAAATGCTCATATTTATATGGGGAATATTAATATATAATACTAAATTTCAATAAAAATAAAAAGTAGAAGACATAGTATTGACCCAAGAACATCAAACAGAAATCGATTCAATAAACATTGATTTGACTATAATAAATCTTTAACCATCTTTTACCAAGTGGGCAACATTTTTTTAACCTTTGCATATCACGCTAATTTACATGGGCTGATGAGCATAATATAGGTACTTATTTTATATTTATAGCAATTTTGTTTATGTGTATTGCTCGCACTTATAGTTGGATATTTTTTTTTACTTAATTAATATCGTAGGATATCGACTAAATGGGTCTCTACTATCCATATTTTGTCATTTAATAATGATCTTTTTCAGAAAACAACACTCAATATTTTATGCACCGTGTATAATAAAATGAATTGGTAAAAAATTACCCTCTAGTGAAGTTTTAAACGACTCTTGAAATTATTTTATAATATTGTTGAACTGAGACTACTGTTATTATACGTAAAACAATAGATTACCTACTGCATAGATATTAGAGACTTTATAAGAATAATTAACTACTTAACGTAATTTCTACGGTTTTTTTTAAATAAAATGACGTGTAAAACTCTGCAGCATAATAAATATATATATATATTTGATATGTAAGTATAAAATAGAAACCTAATAAAATATACTCGTATTTGATGATCCTATTGAAGACCGTCAGAATCTTTAGAAAAGTGTGGTCTGTTACAATCTGCAGCCCTCATAGAAATTTCATTTGGTCTGTGAGTAAAATGTATAGTTTTTATGAAAACCACGAACAAAGATAGTATGTGGACTGGAAACGGTGGATTAAAAGTTTTTTGTTCGTAAAAACTTTGTTAAATAATATAAGTACTTAAGAGTCTGAATTTTAATAATTTAAATTTGATATAACTAGACATATTTGTTTAAAACAAAATAAGGTATATTATCAAAATTATGGCTCATAATAAATGTATATTTATTTGTTGGTCCTTGAAATCAAACAAATTGCTGACTCTAGAAAATATTAATAAAAAGTAAAATTGCTTAATTTTGTCATATATTAATTTTCGGTATACGTTGTTTAGGTCGCTGCCGAAACTCAGTACCCAAGACGAAGACGGCTGTGGTCCAGGGGCAAATCTTGGCACAGGCCTCACACACGGTCATCCTCAACACTGTTCGGGGAGCGCGACATTCGAACCGATACCGCACGACCACGATTTCTGCGAAAGAGTTACAATCAACGTGAGTAAATCAACATATTGTATTATAATTATTTATTAATAGGATATAATAAGTATGTGTAACATTTTGTTTTCAAAAATAGTAAAATATACTTAACACGTTAATTTGTTTAATGCTTTTGCACGTCATATTATACCTACCCAAACCCTACGACAATATTTGTTCTGTATTAAGCATAAAGATTTTTCTCAGAATTTTAAGTGGCTACAAAAATTACATTTTTTCTATTTTTACCAATTTTAAATTTTTTTCTCTAATAAATGTAATATTAAGAAGCAAAATATCATTCGAAGTATTTCGATCTATAAAATTCATATTTCAAACTATAGTTTTATAAGAATTTAATATTTAAAAAAGTGGTGAAGTCGTTGGTCAATTATTTTTGCGTGGTACCTCTCCTCTCCGCTCCTAAACATTTTAAATTCATACGGCACATACACTACTTGTCCAAAATAACATTTTATGGATCAAAATAATCTGAATAATGTTCTGCTTTGGAATAAAGAATTAGAAAACATATAATTCTTAACTAATTCAAATTATATAAGAAAACAATTTTAAAAACTTTAATAGTTTTAGAAATACTTATATTGAGTGTTACGTTTAATGGATATTCAGTATAGTATACGTATATTTTTTAAAGCACTAGTTTATGCAAATTCGATTTTTTCTGATGTCTCTGATGTTACGTTTTAATCTAACGATTTGTCTCGACTAACACGCGTTTAAGCCACTGTTGATTTTGCAAAACGGTCCCGGGTTGACAGGCGCCAAGTGGTCATTGTSAAACGATAGTCAAACAATTTACATTGAAATTACTTAGTAGACGTGCATACCGAAGGATCGGGGTTTAGGGATACAAACCTTTGGAGGGAATAGCTAGTGATTGGTCGGCTGAGCTGCGGGTGAAGTATCAGCCACTGATGTTGTCAACACGACAAAATTACAAGAGACCTTTCACAAAAACCACCCTCTCTTTATAATATCCTTACGTATATATAAATATTATGTATAGTGCATGTGATGATCCAGACTAGGATCTAGATAGAACGAAGGAGGGATCAATTACACGTCAAATTTAATTCGAAACTTGTGTAATATATACTACATTGACCCCACTGTAGAGTTTTGATATTTTGTGGCAGAGGAAACCCCCGTTTGTAATACTATTATCTGCAGCTTCAAAGTCTAGACCGGATATTGAACTTTTTAAACGATTTTCTTTTATTATTATTATTCACACGTTTCTGTGGAACATAATATAATAATAAATTGCGATCGTTTGATATCGATAAGTGTGCACTTGAAACGCACGTTCCTCATGTAAAATCGTGTAGCACCACCAGAGCTGCGGTAACTGAATTTGCATTATCACGGAGGTTTTTTTAATTTTTACAAGTACCCCAACGTGTTTAAAAAAAAAATTATAGGATAGCCTTCGCATTGATTACTAAACGAGAGAAGAACGCCAAAACAATTGGGGGGTAGTATAGTATGTATTGTCATTGAGTATAATAGGTATAATAGGTATAATAGGTATATTGTATAATATGCTTAATATGGTGTTAGGTATTAATATTGATATACCAGATATCTAGTATAGCATTATACAGAAATTATAATATAATATTTTATGCATGTAGAGTTATGCCGTTGTACTACTTACTATATATAATACGTAGGTACTGTATAAAATTAAAATCCCAATAAAAATGTATTTGGTACATTTATTGTAAATTATCATAAAATTTAATGAATTAGGTACCTACGTAATTTTACTCTTTTTTTTTTTAAATTTAATTTTATTAATACATAAGCATCTAAGCATCATTTAAAAAACAAGGCGTTTAATGATATAATATGTATCCTGTATAATAATTTACTTAAGTACACTTAAATAATATAATAGCTCAAAAGCTTATAATATTATATTATAATATTATATCGTATTACATCATATTTATAATATAAGCTTATAATATTATATTAAATTTAATAAAGTGTTTTTATCAATTTAAATGCATAAAGTTGAATGATAACACATATTTGGTACATACTTTACTATAATATTTACTATTTACTACAGATATTTTATAGACTATAAAAATTATAGGTGCGCGATATCTTAAATCCGTCTTGTACAATATCGTCGAGCGAAAACAAAACGACTAAACCCAACATTTTAATAAAGAGCACGAGTTTCGAATTGAAAGTTTTGTGTAAGATTTATCTATAAGATTTTAGTTATTGTGGTCAATAATGAAATGCCATTTAAAAGTTTATAAATAAAATCCAAACTTGGTTGTTTGAAATATATTTTCATTTTGTATTGAATTCGATTCTTCGATCCTTTGATGCCACGTAGGTACCTATGTAATATTATACTTGTCGGTGTTGTTGAATACATTCGTCGTTAGTAGTAAAAAGGTAAATCAAAGCAGTCAATCGACATAAAGAAAATCATAAAAATAACCCCGAGATCAGTTCGTCGACACCAAAGTGTATACGGTGGCCTGATAATATCTGCGTTGGGATTGTTATATTATTTCTCGGTCGCTACAGGTCAAATATGGTCAAGCGGTGATGAACTGCCGCTCGCGGTCGTTTTACTATAAACGTAATGAGAGTTCGAGAAGACGCCGCCGTGTGATATGTATTTAATATGATATTCGCATATCGTACTATTTAATATATAGCCAATAGCCATATAGGTACAAAATATAGGTAGGTATAAAGGCACTTAACTTTTATGTAATATAACGCTTGTCATACAATGGAAGACATGGTGTGGTTAAGGGGATAGATGGGGGGT